GCAGGGCTTTATTGCATAGTCATGATTGACAAAATCATTGGCCAATGCCTGATTCAACCTCCAGGTTCTGCCCTCAGGTGGGGTTCAAAAGTCTCATTAACATGACAAGACACCCATTTCACCTTTAAGGCTCTGTAGTGTTTTCAGGAAGTGTGGATATAGACCAAATATACCTGGGAAAGTCATTTTTGGTCATCTGAATGACCAAATATATTTATTATAACTCATATCACAGGTATACAACATAATTATTTGACATATGTATATATTGCAAAATGATAACCACAGTAAATTTATATCCATCACAGCATAGTTACAAATTTTTATTTCTTTAAATGACAATTTTAATATTACTATCTTAGCATCTTTTAAAATATAGTAAAACTTTTAAATATATTAGCAACTTTTAAATATATGGTATTATTAACTGTAGTGAATATTATATACCATAATATATTATATTACAGCCCCAGAATTTATCTTATAATTGGAAGTTTGTACCTTCATTGACCACATTAAGCCATTTTTACCTCTCTGGCAACTACCAATCTGTTCGCTGTATCTATGAGTTTTTCTGTTTTTTGTGTTTTTGATTCTACATGTGAGATCATATATTTGTCTTTCTCTGATATATTTCCCCTAACATAATGCCCTTAAGCATATCTATCCATATTGTCACAAATGGCAGGATTTCCTTCTTTTGTATGGCTAAATAATACTCCATGGTGTCTATGTATGCCACATTTTTTTATTGAAGTATCATGGATACACCAGCTTATGTTGGTTTCGAATATACAGCACAGTGGTTCAACAGCTACCCATATTATTAAGTCCTCAACCCTTTCTAGTGCAGTTACTATCTATCAACGTATAAAGATGTTACAGAATCACTGACTGTATTCTCCATGCAACTACCATCCCTGTGACCAACTTATATTGTGATTGTGAATTATTGTGCTACATTCTCTTTATCCTTTCACCCATCTGTTGACATTTAGGTTGTTTCCATGTCTTGGGTATGACAAATAATGCTGCACTGAATATGGAGGTGCAGAAATCTTTTCTAGAGGGTGAATTTACTTCAAGTAAATACCCAGAAGTAGAATTGCTGTATCACATGACAGTTCTATTTTTAATTTTTTAAGGAAATTTCATGCTGTTTTCCCTAGTGACTGCACTAATTTACATTCCCACCAGCAGTGCACAAGGGTTCCCTTTCCTTACATCTCCTTGTCAACACTTGTTATTCCTTGTCTTTTTGATGATGACCATTCTAATAGGTGTGAGATGATATATTAATTGTGGTTTTGATTTTCATTTCTGATTATTGATATTAAGCACCTTATCATGTATCTGTTGGCCATGTATGTCTTTTTTTTACAAAATGTCTCTAGATCCTCTGCCTATTTTTATTTGCATTTTTCTGTATTGAGTTGTATGAGTTCTTCATATATTTTGGGTATTAACCTCTTGTCAGATACATGATTTTTGCAAATATTGTAGTGGTTGATACTGGGCTTAACTTATATATATAGTATTCCTGGAACAAAATGGATGTGTTAGGTGCATGGACCCCTCCTGTGCAGTCAAAAATCTGTGTGTAACTTTTGGCTTCCCAAAAACTTTACTAAGAGCCTACTGTATTATGGTAGTAAATGATAGACTAGTATCTGCATGTATTTTATTGATTCTGGGCATACCTTTTCTTAATTTTTAAAAATATTTCTAGACTATGTGGTTTGTGAGTTTTTTCAAATTGTCACAAATCTCCAAAAATTTTCCAATATATTTAGTGAAAAAAATCCATGTATAAGTGGACCTACACAGTTCAAATCCATGTTGTTCAAGGGTCAGCTGTCAAAAAAAAAATCTGAAAAAAAAAAGGGGGTCACACTCTACATTTTATCAGAACCAGCTTCCAATTTATACCGAATTCCAATGAGGTACAGAAATGTTATTCCTATTTCACCCTCTTTTTTTTCATCTCCTTTTGTGGTGACACATTATCTCTATAATAATGTTTCAAACCAAACCATTTATTTTTTTTTACATTATACAAATCTTTTAAGCAGCTGTGAAACAAAGGAAAACTTGTATACCTCTATAGCTTTTGGTGTGTTACTCTTATCTATTAATTTTTACTCTTGCAATGTGATCCTATGGATTTGAATTACCACCTGGATTCATTTCCTCAGCCCAATACATTGCTTCTACCCTTTGTGCTATTATTGGCAAACATTACATTTCTCTATGATATGGGCCCAATAATATGTTATATAAATATTACTTATAGTTGATTTTCAAATCAGTGAAGTGTAGAAGAAATATGAATATATACTGTCTTTGAAAATTACATAATTTCCTTTACCAGTGCTCTTTGTTTTTTTGTGTGTGGGTATGTATTACTGCCTGGAATCACTTGCTTTCAGCCTATAGAATTCTTCAGAGTATTTCTTTCATGCTGCTGTGATAGCAATGATCTCAGTTTATATGTGGGAATGTCTGTATTTCATCTTTGTTTTTAAAAATATTTTTGATCATATAATATTCTTAAAGGTTTTTTGAATACTTTGTATATATCATCCTACTGCCTTCTAGTCTCCATTGTTTCTGATGAGACGTCATCAGTCTTACTGGGGTTCATTTGTGACAACTAGTTTTTCTTTTGCTGCTTTCAAGGTTCTATCCTTCCTTTCGGATTTCACCATTTTTACCATGATGTGTCTATTTATAAATCTCTTTGCATTTATCCTACTTGGTGTCCATGGAGCTTCCTGGATGTATAGATTTATATTTTTCAATAAATTTGGGAACTTTTCAGCCTTTATGTATTTGAATATGTTAAAATGATCCTTTTCCTTTATTTCATTGTATCTGTTATGTATATGGTTGTGTGCTTAATTAACGGTGTCCAACATTTCTCAGAGGCATTGCTCACTTTTTTTTTCTTTGTTCTTCAGATTGTATGATCTCTATCAATCTATCTTTAAGTTTGATAGTACTTTCTTCTGCCAGTTCATATCTACTCTTGAGTTACTCTATGAAATTTTCATTTTAGTTATGCTTTTCAACTCCAGAATTTCCATCTGGTTATATTAAATAACATATCTCTTTTTCCTTAGTTATTTAATGTAACATGTGACTATATGTTCATTTCCTTTAAGCATGGCATCCTTTGTTTATTTGAACATACTAATAATAGCTACTTTGAAGTCTTTTTTAAATCCAGTTACTCTCACAGGTAATTTCTGTTGTCTGCCCTTTTGTTTTGATTTATGGGTCATATTTTCCTATTCCTTTGCCTCTTGTGAGAACTAGACATTGTGTTATATTTTTAAATTTACTTTTAAATGTTTTATATTGAGGTACATATGATAAAATGCACAAATCTTAGTGTACAGCTTGATGCATTTTGACATGTATATACACTCATGTAACCATTACCTAGATTAAGATATCCAACATTCTAATTTTACACCCACCTATTTCACCCATCCCCTCTTCCCATGGCAATCACTAGTATGTTCTTTGTGACTATGAATTGATTTCTGCTTTGTTTATTCATTTGTTTTGTGTTTTATTTTCTACATATAAGTGAAATCAGATGGTATTTGTCTATCTCTTTTTTCACTTATTGTAATCATCTCTAGGCCCATCCATGCTGCCACAAATGGCAAGATTTCGTTCCTTTCCATGGCTGGGTATATTCCATTGTATATGTTAACCACTTTTTTTTCCATTCATCTGTTTATGGACATTTAGGTTTCCATACTTTGGCTGTTGTAAATAATACTTTGATAAATATAGGAGTGCTGCATCTATCTCTTTGGATTAGTGATTTTGTGAAAAGTAGACATTTTAGATAATTGTTGCAAGTCTGGTACTTTTGTCTGCTCCTTCCCACTCCATGCTTGTTGTTATTATTTGCTTGCTTGCTTACTTACTCACTGGCTAAATTAGTTAAGTGCAGTCTACCTTCCCCCATAGTATACATATCTGATGTTGGTCCTTGAAGGGTACAGCCTTGACTGTTACCACAGTCATCCTTGGATGACAGTGGTTTTGACAGGACTGTCTTCTGAGTCTCTCTTTACCTGACTATACCCAGCTGTTAAGCTCCACTAATTGTGACTGATGTCAGTGTTTTCAACAATGCTCTAAGGTGTACACTGCTTCACAGGCGACTGCAATCAAATCAGTGTTGTGTTTGGAATTTGTTTTGACAACAGGAAAAGCTCCCTAAGTATCTTTCTCTAATTCTTTGTGGAAAATTAGCCAGTCTACAGTTTAACATTTCCCTCCAATGGACCTTTCCATTTCCTTCAATAACCTTTCATTAAAACTTCCACTATTTTTGAGAATGTCCTTAGGCTTGAACTTCTCCATACTCTGTTGCATATAAAGTCAGTTCATTTGTAGAGGGATTTGGAGCTCTCCCCTCTATAGCCTGCTTCTGCCCCAGGATGAAACCTCTGAGCCTACTGCTCAGGGTAGGGACAGTGGCATGCTTTTCTCTGAGTGACAGCTTTGCATTAGGAGCTGAGTGCTTGGTAGATGGGGGGCGGTACAGCAGCCCCAGGTCTCAGCTTACCTCTTCTAGCATGCATCTCCTGCCCCACGAACCAAGGCACAATCAGAACCTCAGTATTAATGCCACACCCAAGGTACAACCTAACTTTTGTATGTGGCTGCTAGAGAAGAAAATTCCTAACCCTTCACTGCATATGTCTGAGTAACATGTAGCTGGGGGCAGGAGGAGAAATGCTGATGTCCTACTCCTTCCAGGAAGATAGCCATCTGACTTGGAAAGGGGTTAAGGAGTGGTGAGGAAGCCTGTCTCCTTGGCTGTACCTTTGGAATGGGTCTTGTTCTTACTAAGATGAGATGGACAAGGAAGGGTAGAGGTTTGGTTCAGGTATTGCAGACAGTTCTTAGTTTTAATAAGATTTTCTTAAATATTTGTTCATTTTCTGTATGTTTTTATATGTAATTTTCACCAGTTTCGATGGGGAACATGTCCGTGGAGCTTCTCACACTGTCATATCAGACATGGGATTACCTGAGCAGTTCTTTACAGTTCTAACCATGGACCATGTAAGTTCCTATTTCTGTCTACTTAGTGAACATTTCCTTTTTCTGAATCTTAGTACCAAATAGCTGTAATAAAGAGCCTGCCCAATATTCCCTAGTTTCACACATTCAAATGAGGGTTGGAGCTTAACAGCTGGATATCTGCCTATCTGTTCTCCAAATAATGTTCAGTACTTCTCTGTGTTCATTCTTTTGTCAAGGGTATCTATAGAGTAGAAATGGAATCCCTAAATGGAGACATCTAACATCCTTTACGTATTTTTAGAGAAAAAGAACAGATGGATTCATTTGATAATATATGGGCAAACTCTATACTTCTGAAAAGACCTGAGTGTTCAGGTAGATTGGATTTGATGTTGCCTGGTCTCAGTCATACATAAATAGTAGGTGAATGTAGACTTCCAGAATTGGAGAAGACCTTACCCAACTTACATGTTTACTAAGTATAGTCAAGGAGTGGTGAGGAAGCCTGTCTCCTTGGCTGTACCTCTGGAATGGGTCTTGTTCTTACTAAGATGTTCGTCAGGTAGAGCATTCTGTACCCACCAAAAAGCATTTACAAAATAATTTGTAATTACAATAATTTCTGCCTTATAATATGAAATAATGATCTTAGCATACTGATGAACATGGGGCTGCAATAAATTTTAAAATATTGTTCATATCCAATTTTCTAAGTTAGGTATTTTTCCTGTTCAAAGCAACTAAGATGTAGAAACTCACCTTTACTGGTAATTCATGAGGTAGCACATAACATGCAGTATGCATGTGTACCCTGTTTCTTTTAATTTGTAAACTGTTTATTTCCAGACATGCTTACCTAATTAAGAAATCCCATAGAATGCAGGGCAATGTCTCTGAATCAAATGGATTCTTTAAAGTCATGTAGATAGTCTGGCTTGGAAGCACTCATTGCCTTGCTTCCCATTCCATAGACTTCTACTCCTAGCCTACTTGTTTACTATTTAGTCTTCTTCCTGTAATGCAACACTTTATTTCTTGTCTTTTCCTAGAAAATATCCCCTTCAATTTAACTATAATATGTGGCTTGTTGTTTCAGGAGTTGGTGACATTCAGGGATGTGGTCATCAACTTCTCTCAGGAGGAGTGGGAATATCTGGATTCTGCTCAGAGGGACTTGTACTGGGATGTGATGATGGAGAACTACAGCAACTTAGTCTCACTGGGTAAATTTACCTGCTTTTAAAATTTAGAATATGAGTTGATATTCAGTGAGCCCAAGGCTGTCTTTTAAGAAACTAGGTAAATTTCTTCTTTTTCCAAAGGCATGGGTTGAGCACAGTGTTAGAGGTGATGCCTCCATTAAACATCCTCATCACACTTCGTGATGTTTATTGCTCCTCAGTGCCTTCATATACTTTCTACCTTCCTCGATACCCAGAGAGCTAGATTTGACTTGTAGGACACATACCAGCATATCCTTTGAGATATCTATTGTGTTTGAGCTCAGAATTTCTATAAATGTTTTATGTTATTTTCTTACCCACCTTCTCTGGGAGACCAGCTAAAATGCCATGTCCTGATTTGTTATGATTATTAAAATAATCTATAATTTAGATTGATAAACAGAATTCACATTTATTGCTTACCATAATTATGTTGCATACATTTGTGGTTAAAGAACTTTGCATTTAACATTAAGTTAGTATGCCTCTAAAAGTATTAAAACTAACATTAAGTTAGCATTCCATTTAAAAGTATTTGTGGTTAAAGCATTTTGCATTTAACATTAAGTTAGTATTCTATTAAAAGTAAATAACAAATATTCCAAAAAGCTACTTATTTTCCTCTCAGCTACATAATTATTATATTGTACCAGACCCTGTTTTAAGCACTTTTAATGTATTAAATAACCTAATTCTTCAGTCAGCCTATGACATAAATACTACTTGCATTATTATTTTTAGAAGAGATTGCTAAGACAGATTATTCAGGCAACTTCTCCATTACACAGCCAATTGGTGGCAGAAGCAGTTTTCTACCCAAGCAGACTGGCACCAAAAGCTGAAATTCTTAACTGTTAAATATACTGCTTCGCACAATAATGAGTTGGCATGGAATTAAACAAAATAAGACATTTCTTTACCTGTCTGCTTTCTTAATACTTTGTAATTGTGTGATCACTCTAAGTTGAATGTTCTTTCACTTTCCTCTTCTTGGAAGTCTGTTAATATCATTTCAACTCCATTTATTACAAACTTAACCACTTCTCAAAAGTGTTTTTTAGAATTGGTTCTAATTCATAAATAAATAAATAAATAAATAAATACACGTGGGCGTGCACACGCACACACATATATTTATATGTATGTATTTTTTTACACATTGTTACATTTCTTTGTTGTGAGCAGAGTGTTCCATTTCTAAGCCAGCTATGATGACCTTATTGGAGGAAGGGAAGTTGTTCTGGAGGGTTGTGAGGGATGTGACAAGAACACAGGGCCACCAGGTGAGAGAGGGCTGATGAGGCAGGGAAAGCCATCACCAGAGTAAAAAGGTCAGCCAGTCCAGGAGGAGGTGGGCCCCTGTGATGTTCTGGGGAAACTCTCTTCAAAGCCATGAAGAAAAAAATCTGACACTTGGGGAAGCAAATTAAGATCTTCCCTAGTGCAACCAACAATTTTTTCACTTCCTCTTATATTTAGACTTATATAAATGTCTCTATTGATAAAAACCCTTGGTCATTTCTTTACTCAACATATAATCAGTGACTACACCAAGGTAAATATTGTGCTAGCTCAGTCAGTAAATAGTGAGGAAGACCAATATAGATCCTGCTGTCATGGAATTGACATACTAGTAAGATGTCTAATAAACAGGTAAAGACATAATTAGGAAATATATATACTGAAATTTGCTATGAAGAAAAGTAAGGAAAATACAGGGGTAACGATTGATGAAGAAAGATCTGACAAATAGCATAGTCAGAAAGGGATCTCTGTGGTCTTAGTTTGGCATTTTATGGATATACCGTTCTTTATCAAGAATTTACCTAATGATTTTTACACTTGAAAATATTTGAATCAGTGTTTTCCTAAGTCCATCATTCCTTCCACATTAGTTGCCCTCATGCTCTTCATTAAACTTTAAATGTAATTCTAATGGGAAAGACAGCAAGAGTATTTGATTGATCTTTGTATAACTACTAATTAGCTACCTCAGATAGTACAGTTGAAATTTTCTGACTTTATCTTATTTATGTCTCATTATAGATTTATTGGTTTTCATTGGATTAGTTTTTCTTAGCCCACCACAGTCTTTGATTTTTGATGCCTAATTGTATGAATATTGAATAATTCCTTATGGTGATTTCTGTGTATCTTTAACTTGATCTTTAAATCTTTAAATTTATTCTTGCTTTCAGAAGCTTTCCTGGGCTCACCCTATAACTTCCCTATCCAAGACCAGAAACCTGCATCAATTAAAAGACAGTTCTGGTCTTCTGTGTTTTTATTGTTTTTCTTTAAAATCAATCTTAGGTATTAGTTTTATTTAGTTAGCTAGCATGATTATACACAAAGTTTATCCCCGACTTTTGATTCTTGTCAAAATTGCAGTCTCCCTTAGCTCTACAAGTGATTTCTGTGTCCTTTTAACATGACCCACTGATAGTATCCGGAAGTTATGTATCTTTAAGAATAATGCAGAAGTTATAGTATGTCTCCATGCCTTCCAACTCACACTATACCAGGGTGATGTATATTTATAATATATATAAGATATGTTCATATTTCTTGCTTTCTGTTAAAAAATTGAAGTCAAATCTTCTGCCTTTCCTACTCCAAATCATGACTCAGATCTTTGTTTTAGGAGCCCTGGTTCATTACTTGGTTTATTGCCACAATCTGGGCAGTAATCATTCTTACAATTTTTGTTTCATGGGAGGTGAATCTTTGACATTTTTATCTCTTTCCAGCAAATTGGTCTTTTTCAACTTTTATGATTGCTGGGGTTTTCAGTGTTTACCCAGAAGATAATTCATAAATCAACATTTTAAATTGATTAGAAGTCTTATAACATTTAAAAAAATACTCTCTCTGATGGTTCCTTCTCTTTTCATTTTCTCTTTTACATTTTTTAATTATATTCTTTATATGTTTTCTAACTCATTAGATTCTGATTTCATATTTACTGAACTTTCCCCTCACTGTTTCTTTAGGTCACTTTGTTGTTTTCTATCTTATTGAATGGAGTATATATATTGGTTAACTTCATTCTTTCATTTTTATTAGCATGAACCTTTATGTAAATCTTGTGTGACTAATGCTGAGTTCCATGATTTTAATATGTAATACTTCAATGCCATTGTTCTCTGAAGAGTTTATAATTTCATTTACATTGTCACATTGACTAAACAGTTATTTGGTAGAGATATTTATTCCTAAATGGAAGTGATTTTGATTTACTGATACTGGCATTCATTTATGATTTTATTGTTTTAGTCAAGTAATGATGTTTATGTTATTTCACCTTTGTTATTCATAATTCAGTCACAGGAAATTATTTTCTCCCTGCATCATACAGTGCTTATCAGTCACTTCAGATTTTTCTCAAGTTGTTCCCTTATCTGATTGGCAGTCTCTAACAAATCGTTTGTTATTGATTTGAATAGATCGTTTGTTACAAAATCCTTACACTCTTGCCCATCTCCACCATCTTTTCCATATCATTTAGTTAGCATAGTCTCCATTTCAGCCACAATTTTGTTCAGAATTCCATAAGCTTTATAAATGGTATATTAAACCATATTATATATGTAATTATAATATCTAAAATATTCTGATACAATTTTTGGAAGTATAAAATATTCTGATACAATTTTTGGAAGTATAATGATGGCTCTGAGTATAGAAAAATGGAAAGGAATATCTGGGGAAAAGCATGAATAAAAACATTTAAATATAGGTGGATTACAGTGGGATAAGTGAGTAATAGTGAAAATTCTACTGAGGAGAGGTAAATAAATTATACTGAAGAGAGGTATTTTATTGACATGTGGGATAAAGAAAATTGTGGTTTTACATAGGAGGGAATTAACAGCAGTGATGGAGACAATATGAGTAAGTGGAGAGACAACAGGAAAACAATCACTTATAAACACTTCACATATATACAATATATCTTACTGTATTATAAACATATATAATCACTATAGTATAATGAGAAGGTTGGAAGACATGGAGACATAACTGTTGCACTGTTATAGTTACATAATTATTTTGATAATCAGTTGTGTTCCCTAATGACTTATCTTTGTAATATTTGCTTTTATTCTTATTTAGATTCCTTTCATCCAGTGATTTACTTTTCCTGTAATTAACAACTACTCTGTCTTTGGGACTTGTTATTCAGTGGCACATAAAAGAATGATTGCATTTGTCCTTTGGAATTTAAGGCATAAGGAAATAATACACCAACACAGAAAATTATCAAATGTGCAGTTAAAAAAATAGATATGTGGGCAAGGAACTGGATATTGAAATGGAGACACAAATATTAACTTACTTAGAGTCAATTAGTATATCCTTTCTGAAGGTAGCAACTTTTAGACCTGGACAGTGAAAACAAGGTGGTATATAAAGAACCCATTTCTGAGAAATGAAACATTTTGTGGGTAGCTCTAAATGATGGGAAATGTAGTTTTGATGTAGGAGGTGAAAAAAGATTTGGTGAAAAGTGATAATGGTTTAAAATGGAGTCTTATAAGCAGCACCTTAGTATCTCTGGTTAAGTGATTGGATTCTATTGTTAAAAAGAAAAAAAAATGTTACAAAATTGTTAGCATGAATAGATTATCACATTTTGATCTGCACTATCAGTATCTCTACAAGACATTGATGATTATTTCTACATCCATAGATGTTTTCACTTTATCTGGGTTGGTTCCTGAACATCAGTACTTTACAACAAGCTTCCTAGGTGATGATCAATACCTAAATTTCAGATCAACTGACTTAATCTGCTTCCCTTACCACAAACCTCACAACCTTACATTATGCTCTTATCATTCTCTGAGCTCCTTAGCTTTCTTCAAACTTCTTTACAGTATTTGAATCTTCACTTATATTGTGAAATCAGTTTGTTTCTTCTGCATTCTATAGCTGTTTTAATTTTGTGACACATGAAAGTTTTTTGTTTTGTTTTGTTTTGTTACCTTTCAGATTTGGAGTCCAAGTATGACAGAAAGAGTTTATCTATAGGGAAAAACATTATTGAAAACAATGGTTCTCAGTGGGAAGTAATAGAAAGTAATAAGTTCATTGATCTTGATAAATCGATTTTCAGAAGTGGCTGGCAAAGGAAAAGCAAGATTGAAGTGCAGACACCGAAAGTGAGAGATTTCAGTCAAACAAAAATCATCTTAGAACAAGTGCCCAATTACAAAAATCATAAATTTCTAACATCACATCAGAGAATTCATGATAGGAAGAAGCCCTGTGACTATAAGGAATATGGGAAGGTCTTCAGCTGTGACATAAACTTTGATGAATATGAGATAATACATACTGATGAGAAAACTTATGAATGTAATGGATATTACAAAACCTTTGGAGTAGATGACCCAAATATCCAACAACTAAATATTCATACTGATGTGAAACCTTGTAAATATATGGAATATGGAAATACATTCAGTTTTTATAAAGACCTTAATATACAACAGAAAATTCATGATGATCAGAAGTGCTATAAATGTAAGGAATATGGAAGGACATTGAGAAGAGTGAAAGAAATTACTCCACTTCAAAGAATACATGATGGTGAGAAACCCTATGAATGCACTTTCTGTGGGAAATTCTTTAGAGTACATGCACAACTTAATCAACATCAGAAAATCCATGTTGATGAGAAACCTTACAAATGTATGGAATGTGACAAGGACTTCAGATTTCATTCAAAGCTAACAGAGCATGAGAGGATCCATACTGGTGAGAAACCATACAAATGTATACAATGTGAGAAGGTGTTTAGAATTAGTTCACAGCTTATTGAACATCAGAGAATTCATACTGGTAAGAAACCCTATGAATGCAAGGCATGTGGAAAGGTATTTAGAAATAGTTCATCCCTTACTAGACATCAAAGAATTCATACTGGTGAGAAACCCTATAAATGTAAGGAATGTGAGAAAGCTTTTGGAGTAGGTAGTGAACTTACTCGACATCAGACAATTCATAGTGGTCAGAAACCTTATGAATGTAAAGAGTGTGGGAAGTTCTTTAGGCTTACTTCAGCCCTTATTCAACATCAAAGAATTCATAGTGGTGAGAAACCTTATGAATGTAAAGTATGTGGGAAGGCCTTTAGACACAGTTCAACAATAACTGAACATCAGAGAATTCATACTGGAGAGAAGCCTTATGAATGCAAGGTGTGTGGGAAGGCCTTTAGACATAGTTCATCCTTTACAAAACATCAAAAAATCCATATTGGTAAGAAACCCTATGAATGTAAGGAATATGTGAGTATCTTTAGTGTGAGCAAGCATCTTACTTGATATCCAAAAAGTAATATTGGTGAGAAGTCTTGAAAGGCACATACAAAGGCCTTTTGTTTGAGTTTCACTGGAAAAACTGTATGTTTAATAAAAATTAATCAAGGGAATTCACTATCTCTTATTAAATCTTTTTTCCAGATGTTATGGCCACTCTAGAATTGCTCAGTCATAGGTGATACTTTCAGCTTTGTTAGATATTGCCAGAAGTTTTTTCATATCAATTAACATTCTGAATATCCATTTATGTAGGATGGTCCCTATTAATCCATCTTAAATGTGTGGAAAATGTATTTCCCTAATTATAAATTATTTGAGTTATTTTCTTATGAGTTTCTTGTCCAGACATGATGTTTGTTTTTGTGTTTTGTTCTTTTGTTCATTCATGGCTTTTGGCTTACTGATTCGTAATATTACTCAAATACATCTTTGAGTAATTCTAATGTTTTACTTGTTATATAGTAGGCATATTTATCTTTCTCCAGAGTTAAAACTCCCAGATACTTTGTGGTTTTAAAGTCTTGTGGCCCTGCATATTGTTAGGCAGATTTTTTTGTTTTGTTTTCTATTGTTTTTGTTTTAAGGTAGATGTGTATCTCCTTTCCATTGCCATCAAATGGTTGACTTATTTTTTAATTTCTGTTTTGTTTTGATACAATATGTATTCCTAAATACCTACCATAATATAATTCTTTTAAGGAGCCTTTTCATCTCTAGCCAGTATCACTCAGGATAAAAATTAAAGGAGCACTTTAAAATATTTCATAATACTTACTAATCCAATCGTATCAGCCTCTTAAATTTGTCAAGCACCTTTAGAAAGAGGAGATCTACAACTATTGCAATGATTATAAACTGATCACTAAACACATTAAGAGGGTTCACAACTCTATTTAATTACCACAGTTTTTAAATGTGGCTTCTTATCAATACTATTATTTTCTCTGTTATTCTTCTCAGTGTTGCCTTACTGGGTTTTGGCAGTTGAACAATCAGTAGACCTTTGATTTTAAGAATGTCAGCTGACTCCAAAAAAGAAATAAGAATAGGAAAGAAAATTAGACAGTCAGAAAGGTAAAGTTGCACATCATTTTTTGCCTCTCATCTCTTCTTCAGGACAGCTGACTCAGTTACACAGTTAATGTGATTACAAGGCTACTGGTTGTTAGATTTTTATAAGAAAATGTACCTATTACATTTAGATACACTTATGATGCCATCATTCATTACACTTTAGTTTTTGTAATTGGTGTCTTTCCCAGAATTTATGGAATCTAAAAGAGTCTAAATGATCAGCAGTAGTAACTAAGCCATTTTTTTGTTGACTACATTGAGCAGTGTTTTCTTTAAATATTCCTTGTTAGTATTTTATTGAACCTGGAAGTTTTTAAAAATACACAATTGGTAGATATTTCATGTCATACACAATTAGAGAATGGGTCTCTGTTGTTACCATTTTTATATTTGCTATATTTCATATTTTTTTAATTATTCAACTTTATTATAATTTTTAATATTAGTAATAGTTCACTATTTACCAAGCTATTGGTGACCACACTGTTGATTTGCTCTTTGATCTCACTCTGGTTATTCTGAGTTGGAATCATGATGATTAGTTTCCGCCTTGGTGTAATACTCCAGAACCACTTGCCCTACACTTCTTTGCTTGAGCAAATTAAAACAATGGGCTATCTAAACCTTACATGGACTTCAAATTAATAATGTAACAAAATAACCATTTGTCTTGGCACTTAATTCTTAAAATCATAAATGAATAAGTGAAAAATTAATGAATACAACATATCCTTATTATGTCTCCCTTATTTATAATCATAGCTACATTTTGGTGTACACAACATTAACATTTTTCTTTGAGCTTTGTTATGAACTCCTGTCATTTCACTGCTACTGCAATAAAAAATAATGTAGTTACTGTTAACTTTTTGTTACTTCTTTTTGGTGCTTAAATTGAAAAACCTCATTCTTTTTCATTTTCATTTGCCCTTTTATCTTTTCCACATTTTCCTTAGTCTACATTATTTTTTCCAGCCAAAGAGAATGTTGCAGACCTATCATGTTTATTGCTGCTCTAATCCTTGAATTTACCCCAATAAAGGAGTCCTGGTTCAATTTAATACTGAATTCTAACTAACAAATGTAAAAGGAATGAGGAAAATAGGAAATCACTGTAAAAAAGTAATACTTATACACAAAATCAACTGATGGATGCTAAAATTTGGAAGTGAAGGTTTGAAGAAAAATAGAATATTGTAATTTTCTCAATTTGTATCTCTAATTACAAGAAGAAAACATTACATACACCACCTTAACCAAATGATCACCAGTAGAAAGACATTAATATCATATACCACACAAGGTGATGCGCTAAGAAGGGCTTCATCACTTGGGTACTATTTCACCAAAAATATGCATAACTATGATCTAATAATGAAACTGCAGACAAACCCAAAATAAAGGACTTTCTCTAAGATAACTCACCAGGTACTCCTAAAGTCAACAATCTTTCAAGGCCATGAAAGGCAATTGAAGCTGAAAAACTCAAGATTGGAGGAGACTGGGGAAACTTGAAAACTTAATACAACACAGGATTCTGTATTTGCTCTCTAGAACATTAGTGAAGAAAATTTGGTGAAATCCAAGTAAAACTGGTAGTTTAAGTGATAGTATTATACCATTGGTAATATCCTGGTATTGATCATTATAATATGGTAATATAAAATGTTAATGTTAGGCGAACTAGGAAAAGGGTGTATGGAAACTCTGTATTCTTCTTGCAATTCTTCTGTATATTAAAAAAAATACTGTTTCCAGCTGAAACAGTAATAGAGACTGGATTTATATTGCCTAAAACAACAAAAACACTAGTATTTTCAGATATTGGACATCAGATTGAAATAATGGCAAACAAACTGTAAACAAATAAGTTCTATACACTTGACCCAGCTTAACCCTGAAGGATCATTTCCACATCTCAGCACAGGGAAGGGGAATGCAGAGGGAGCCTTGTGATCCCCCTAAGTTGACAAGATGGCGCTGAGAGTCCAGGGAGGCTGTTACGGCTAGAGTGAGCAAGACAGTGTTGAGCCATATTCTGATCAGGTCATGGGGGTGAGCAGATCACTTAAGCCCAGCAAAAGAAATGCTTAAGATCACAGGTGATCGATCCTTGGTGCTCACACAGGGCCAGGAATAGTTTGTTCCTATTGGCCAAAGTGGTAACCTCATAATTTAGGATTTATAGGGCACTGGTTGGGTTGCCCAAAGTTACTTTTTATATGTTTTCTAACTCATTAGATTCTGATTTCATATTTACTGAACTTTCCCCTCACTGTTTCTTTAGGTCACTTTGTTGTTTTCTATCTTATTGAATGGAGTATATATATTGGTTAACTTCATTCTTTCATTTTTATTAGCATGAACTTTTATGTAAATCTTGTGTGACTAATGCTGAGTTCCATGATTTTAATATGTAATACTTCAATGCCATTGTTCTCTGAAGAGTTTATAATTTCATTTACATTGTCACATTGACTAAACAGTTATTTGGTAGAGATATTTATTCCTAAATGGAAGTGATTTTGATTTACTGATACTGGCATTCATTTATGATTTTATTGTTTTAGTCAAGTAATGATGTTTATGTTATTTCACCTTTGTTATTCATAATTCAGTCACAGGAAATTATTTTCTCCCTGCATCATACAGTGCTTATCAGTCACTTCAGATTTTTCTCAAGTTGTTCCCTTATCTGATTGGCAGTCTCTAACAAATCGTTTGTTATTGATTTGAATAGATCGTTTGTTACAAAATCCTTACACTCTTGCCCATCTCCACCATCTTTTCCATATCATTTAGTTAGCATAGTCTCCATTTCAGCCACAATTTTGTTCAGAATTTCATAAGCTTTATAAATGGTATATTAAACCATATTATATATGTAATTATAATATCTAAAATATTCTGATACAATTTTTGGAAGTATAAAATATTCTGATACAATTTTTGGAAGTATAATGATGGCTCTGAGTATAGAAAAATGGAAAGGAATATCTGGGGAAAAGCATGAATAAAAACATTTAAATATAGGTGGATTACAGTGGGATAAGTGAGTAATAGTGAAAATTCTACTGAGGAGAGGTAAATAAATTATACTGAAGAGAGGTTATTTTATTGACATGTGGGATAAAGAAAATTGTGGTTTTACATAGGAGGGAATTAACAGCAGTGATGGAGACAATATGAGTAAGTGGAGAGACAACAGGAAAACAATCACTTATAAACACTTCACATATATACAATATATCTTACTGTATTATAAACATATATAATCACTATAGTATAATGAGAAGGTTGGAAGACATGGAGACATAACTGTTGCACTGTTATAGTTACATAATTATTTTGATAATCAGTTGTGTTCCCTAATGACTTATCTTTGTAATATTTGCTTTTATTCTTATTTAGATTCCTTTCATCCAGTGATTTACTTTTCCTGTAATTAACAACTACTCTGTCTTTGGGACTTGTTATTCAGTGGCACATAAAAGAATGATTGCATTTGTCCTTTGGAATTTAAGGCATAAGGAAATAATACACCAACACAGAAAATTATCAAATGTGCAGTTAAAAAAATAGATATGTGGGCAAGGAACTGGATATTGAAATGGAGACACAAATATTAACTTACTTAGAGTCAATTAGTATATCCTTTCTGAAGGTAGTAACTTTTAGACCTGGACAGTGAAAACAAGGTGGTATATAAAGAACCCATTTCTGAGAAATGAAACATTTTGTGGGTAGCTCTAAATGATGGGAAATGTAGTTTTGATGTAGGAGGTGAAAAAAGATTTGGTGAAAAGTGATAATGGTTTAAAATGGAGTCTTATAAGCAGCACCTTGGTATCTCTGGTTAAGTGATTGGATTCTATTGTTAAAAAGAAAAAAAAATGTTACAAAATTGTTAGCATGAATAGATTATCACATTTTGATCTGCACTATCAGTATCTCTACAAGACATTGATGATTATTTCTACATCCATAGATGTTTTCACTTTATCTGGGTTGGTTCCTGAACATCAGTACTTTACAACAAGCTTCCTAGGTGATGATCAATACCTAAATTTCAGATCAACCGACTTAATCTGCTTCCCTTACCACAAACCTCACAACCTTACATTATGCTCTTATCATTCTCTGAGCTCCTTAGCTTTCTTCAAACTTCTTTACAGTATTTGAATCTTCACTTATATTGTGAAATCAGTTTGTTTCTTCTGCATTCTATAGCTGTTTTAATTTTGTGACACATGAAAGTTTTTTGTTTTGTTTTGTTTTGTTACCTTTCAGATTTGGAGTCCAAGTATGACAGAAAGAGTTTATCTATAGGGAAAAACATTATTGAAAACAATGGTTCTCAGTGGGAAGTAATAGAAAGTAATAAGTTCATTGATCTTGATAAATCGATTTTCAGAAGTGGCTGGCAAAGGAAAAGCAAGATTGAAGTGCAGACACCGAAAGTGAGAGATTTCAGTCAAACAAAAATCATCTTAGAACAAGTGCCCAATTACAAAAATCATAAATTTCTAACATCACATCAGAGAATTCATGATAGGAAGAAGCCCTGTGACTATAAGGAATATGGGAAGGTCTTCAGCTGTGACATAAACTTTGATGAATATGAGATAATACATACTGATGAGAAAACTTATGAATGTAATGGATATTACAAAACCTTTGGAGTAGATGACCCAAATATCCAACAACTAAATATTCATACTGATGTGAAACCTTGTAAATATATGGAATATGGAAATACATTCAGTTTTTATAAAGACCTTAATATACAACAGAAAATTCATGATGATCAGAAGTGCTATAAATGTAAGGAATATGGAAGGACATTGAGAAGAGTGAAAGAAATTACTCCACTTCAAAGAATACATGATGGTGAGAAACCCTATGAATGCACTTTCTGTGGGAAATTCTTTAGAGTACATGCACAACTTAATCAACATCAGAAAATCCATGTTGATGAGAAACCTTACAAATGTATGGAATGTGACAAGGACTTCAGATTTCATTCAAAGCTAACAGAGCATGAGAGGATCCATACTGGTGAGAAACCATACAAATGTATACAATGTGAGAAGGTGTTTAGAATTAGTTCACAGCTTATTGAACATCAGAGAATTCATACTGGTAAGAAACCCTATGAATGCAAGGCATGTGGAAAGGTATTTAGAAATAGTTCATCCCTTACTAGACATCAAAGAATTCATACTGGTGAGAAACCCTATAAATGTAAGGAATGTGAGAAAGCTTTTGGAGTAGGTAGTGAACTTACTCGACATCAGACAATTCATAGTGGTCAGAAACCTTATGAATGTAAAGAGTGTGGGAAGTTCTTTAGGCTTACTTCAGCCCTTATTCAACATCAAAGAATTCATAGTGGTGAGAAACCTTATGAATGTAAAGTATGTGGGAAGGCCTTTAGACACAGTTCAACAATAACTGAACATCAGAGAATTCATACTGGAGAGAAGCCTTATGAATGCAAGGTGTGTGGGAAGGCCTTTAGACATAGTTCATCCTTTACGAAACATCAAAAAATCCATATTGGTAAGAAACCCTATGAATGTAAGGAATATGTGAGTATCTTTAGTGTGAGCAAGCATCTTACTTGATATCCAAAAAGTAATATTGGTGAGAAGTCTTGAAAGGCACATACAAAGGCCTTTTGTTTGAGTTTCACTGGAAAAACTGTATGTTTAATAAAAATTAATCAAGGGAATTCACTATCTCTTATTAAATCTTTTTTCCAGATGTTATGGCCACTCTAGAATTGCTCAGTCATAGGTGATACTTTCAGCTTTGTTAGATATTGCCAGAAGTTTTTTCATATCAATTAACATTCTGAATATCCATTTATGTAGGATGGTCCCTATTAATCCATCTTAAATGTGTGGAAAATGTATTTCCCTAATTATAAATTATTTGAGTTATTTTCTTATGAGTTTCTTGTCCAGACATGATGTTTGTTTTTGTGTTTTGTTCTTTTGTTCATTCATGGCTTTTGGCTTACTGATTCGTAATATTACTCAAATACATCTTTGAGTAATTCTAATGTTTTACTTGTTATATAGTAGGCATATTTATCTTTCTCCAGAGTTAAAACTCCCAGATACTTTGTGGTTTTAAAGTCTTGTGGCCCTGCATATTGTTAGGCAGATTTTTTTGTTTTGTTTTCTATTGTTTTTGTTTTAAGGTAGATGTGTATCTCCTTTCCATTGCCATCAAATGGTTGACTTATTTTTTAATTTCTGTTTTGTTTTGATACAATATATATTCCTAAATACCTACCATAATATAATTCTTTTAAGGAGCCTTTTCATCTCTAGCCAGTATCACTCAGGATAAAAATTAAAGGAGCACTTTAAAATATTTCATAATACTTACTAATCCAATCGTATCAGCCTCTTAAATTTGTCAAGCACCTTTAGAAAGAGGAGAAGATCTACAACTATTGCAATGATTATAAACTGATCACTAAACACATTAAGAGGGTTCACAACTCTATTTAATTACCACAGTTTTTAAATGTGGCTTCTTATCAATACTATTATTTTCTCTGTTATTCTTCTCAGTGTTGCCTTACTGGGTTTTGGCAGTTGAACAATCAGTAGACCTTTGATTTTAAGAATGTCAGCTGACTCCAAAAAAGAAATAAGAATAGGAAAGAAAATTAGACAGTCAGAAAGGTAAAGTTGCACATCATTTTTTGCCTCTCATCTCTTCTTCAGGACAGCTGACTCAGTTACACAGTTAATGTGATTACAAGGCTACTGGTTGTTAGATTTTTATAAGAAAATGTACCTATTACATTTAGATACACTTATGATGCCATCATTCATTACACTTTAGTTTTTGTAATTGGTGTCTTTCCCAGAATTTGTGGAATCTAAAAGAGTCTAAATGATCAGCAGTAGTAACTAAGCCATTTTTTTGTTGACTACATTGAGCAGTGTTTTCTTTAAATATTCCTTGTTAGTATTTTATTGAACCTGGAAGTTTTTAAAAATACACAATTGGTAGATATTTCATGTCATACACAATTAGAGAATGGGTCTCTGTTGTTACCATTTTTATATTTGCTATATTTCATATTTTTTTAATTATTCAACTTTATTATAATTTTTAATATTAGTAATAGTTCACTATTTACCAAGCTATTGGTGACCACACTGTTGATTTGCTCTTTGATCTCACTCTGGTTATTCTGAGTTGGAATCATGATGATTAGTTTCCGCCTTGGTGTAATACTCCAGAACCACTTGCCCTACACTTATTTGCTTGAGCAAATTAAAACAATGGGCTATCTAAACCTTACATGGACTTCAAATTAATAATGTAACAAAATAACCATTTGTCTTGGCACTTAATTCTTAAAATCATAAATGAATAAGTGAAAAATTAATGAATACAACATATCCTTATTATGTCTCCCTTATTTATAATCATAGCTACATTTTGGTGTACACAACATTAACATTTTTCTTTGAGCTTTGTTATGAACTCCTGTCATTTCACTGCTACTGCAATAAAAAATAATGTAGTTACTGTTAACTTTTTGTTACTTCTTTTTGGTGCTTAAATTGAAAAACCTCATTCTTTTTCATTTTCATTTGCCCTTTTATCTTTTCCACATTTTCCTTAGTCTACATTATTTTTTCCAGCCAAAGAGAATGTTGCAGACCTATCATGTTTATTGCTGCTCTAATCCTTGAATTTACCCCAATAAAGGAGTCCTGGTTCAATTTAATACTGAATTCTAACTAACAAATGTAAAAGGAATGAGGAAAATAGGAAATCACTGTAAAAAAGTAATACTTATACACAAAATCAACTGATGGATGCTAAAATTTGGAAGTGAAGGTTTGAAGAAAAATAGAATATTGTAATTTTCTCAATTTGTATCTCTAATTACAAGAAGAAAACATTACATACACCACCTTAACCAAATGATCACCAGTAGAAAGACATTAATATCATATACCACACAAGGTGATGCGCTAAGAAGGGCTTCGTCACTTGGGTACTATTTCACCAAAAATATGCATAACTATGATCTAATAATGAAACTGCAGACAAACCCAAAATAAAGGACTTTCTCTAAGATAACTCACCAGGTACTCCTAAAGTCAACAATCTTTCAAGGCCATGAAAGGCAATTGAAGCTGAAAAACTCAAGATTGGAGGAGACTGGGGAAACTTGAAAACTTAATACAACACAGGATTCTGTATTTGCTCTCTAGAACATTAGTGAAGAAAATTTGGTGAAATCCAAGTAAAACTGGTAGTTTAAGTGATAGTATTATACCATTGGTAATATCCTGGTATTGATCATTATAATATGGTAATATAAAATGTTAATGTTAGGCGAACTAGGAAAAGGGTGTATGGAAACTCTGTATTCTTCTTGCAATTCTTCTGTATATTAAAAAAAATACTGTTTCCAGCTGAAACAGTAATAGAGACTGGATTTATATTGCCTAAAACAACAAAAACACTAGTATTTTCAGATATTGGACATCAGATTGAAATAATGGCAAACAAACTGTAAACAAATAAGGTCTATACACTTGACCCAGCTTAACCCTGAAGGATCATTTCCGCATCTCAGCACAGGGAAGGGGAATGCAGAGGGAGCCTTGTGATCCCCCTAAGTTGACAAGATGGCGCTGAGAGTCCAGGGAGGCTGTTACGGCTAGAGTGAGCAAGACAGTGTTGAGCCATATTCTGATCAGGTCATGGGGGTGAGCAGATCACTTAAGCCCAGCAAAAGAAATGCTTAAGATCACAGGTGATCGATCCGTGGTGCTCACACAGGGCCAGGAATAGTTTGTTCCTATTGGCCAAAGTGGTAACCTCATAATTTAGGATTTATAGGGCACTGGTTGGGTTGCCCAAAGTTACTACCTCAGTAGAGAGAAAGTTAGCACTAGACTAAGGTATCCTAGTCCCCACCTATCAAAACATGAAGTAGATCTTGAAAGGAATAAACTGTTTCCAGGTAACATAATATCCCAGAGTAAAGTTTTATGAGTATATTTATAGAAATGCAGCAGTACCAAATTACATAGAAGATATCTTTCCCAATGGCTGATGGTAAATACAATTTTTGAGGAATGTAAAGCAGGAATACAGGACTATAATAAGGAGAAAAGTCAATAGAAACACCCAGAAATGACAAAAATTGATTTTATATTTGATTTATTAGATTTTGAGTACATCTGTTTTAACTATATTCCACATGTCCAAGAAGGAAGACAAGAGATTGTGTTAAGCATGGATGTAGAAAATACTCAAAAGACCCAGTAAGCTTATAGAGATGAAAAATTATAATACGTGAGTTTTAAAAATACAGTAGATGATCAAAAAGACATATGCACCCCTATGTTTATCGCAGCACTATTTACAATAGCCAAGATATGGAAGCAACCTAAGTGTTCATCAGTAGATGAATGGATAAAGAAGATATGGTACATATACACAATGGAATACTATTCAGCCTTAAGAAAGAGACAAATCCTACCATTTGCAACAACATGGATGGAGCTGGAGGACATTATGCTCAGTGAAATAAGCCAGGTGGAGAAAGACAAATGCCAAATGATTTCCCTCATTTATGGAGTATAACAGTGAAGCAAAACTGAAGGAACAAAATAGCAGCAGACTCAGAGACTCCAAGAATGAACTAGTGGTTACCACAGGGGAGGGGTGTGGGAGGGCGGGTGGGGAGGGAGGGAGAAGGGGACTGAGGGGTATTATGTTTAGTACACATGGTGTGGGGAATCACAGGGAGAACAGTGTAGCACAGAGAAGGCACATAGTGGATCTGTGGTATCTTGCTGCACTGATGGACAGTGACTGCATTGGGTATGGGTGGGGACTTGGTAATATGGGTAAATGTAGTAACCACATTGTTTTTTCATGTGAAACCTTCAAAAGAGTGTATATCAATAATACCTTAATTAAAAAAAGAAAAAAGATAAAAATACAGTAGATGAGATCAACAGATTAGATACTGCAAAAGAAAACACTAGTAAACTTGAAGACATAGCAATAAAAACTATAGTAATTGAAACAGAAAAACAGCCTATGAAAATAAGTATCAGAGAGTTGTGGGACAACTTAAACTAGGCCAATTATGTGCAATTGGGCTCCCTAGAAGAGAAGAAGAATGAGTGGGGGGCAGAAAAATAATTTGAAGAAATGATTGCCAAGAAATTTCCAAATTTATTGAAAACTATAAACCCACAGATCTAGGAAGTTCAACTTATCCCAAGCACAAGAAACATTATTTAAAAAAATACAATCAACCAAATTGATTAAAATCAGTGATTTTAGAGAGAATCTTAAAAGCAACAAGAAGGGAAGATACTGTACACACAGAAGGACAAAGATTTAAAAAGTGCAAGCTGGATTAAAATATTTTACCCTATTCCTCCCCAATTATTACACTTAAAACCCAGATGGGTAAAAATATAAAACAAACTTTAAAATTGGAAAAGTCAGGAAAAATGAAAACAATTGAAAGTTGGAGAAATGGAACTCAAGGGAAAACAGCCCAGTGATGAGTTCCCTGGAGAACAGTTGGTTTGGTTTGGCTTGGTTTTGGCTTCCTATATATTCCAACCTGAGCACCAGAAAACCTTGCAAATTGGAAATGTCAACAGGTGCAAGAAACTACCAAAAAACTCCACACAATAACAGTAACAAAAAACACCCAAGATGCACTTGCTTTCCCTAGGCAAAGGACTGGAGAATGTTTGGGCCCTGCAGAACAAAACCCTTTTGACAATGCCAAATCTACATTAGCTGAACTCTGCAAACAAGAAAATGACAGGGTGGATGGTGGGAGTCAAGATGGCTGCAGCTGGGGCAGCCAGTATTTGAGAAACAAACAGTGGCTTTGAAGTGTATGTTGAATTTCAATGTGCCTCATGTCAA